TTGTGTAAAGAGTTTGATAAAAATGTGGAATGTATCGAATATCAAATTAATTAAATATATATGTTCTTTGTCTAATCCAGTTCAACATGGATGTCCCAACTATAGTATCATAAAAACGGCAAGAGACATCTTATATTGAAGGAGGAAATAACGGTTTGGGGGAAGAGATGACATGGATCTTTACAATGAGACCGTGGACAAGAATTTAGTGCAGCTTGGTAATGCTTTCGAGGGTATTTTGCCTCTGGATCTTGCTAAATACCTACTGGATACATAGTGCTTTATGACACTCAATCATTTGTCAATTTAAAAAGCAATCAACTTTTTTATTCAATCTTTTTGTTCTACATCATATTATGTAATCTATTATGTACAATTTTTTTTTTATGTATAAGTAGCGAAATCCTTGTGCCCCAAGAAATTTCACTTTTGACGAAGTTTTGAGCACCCTTTTTTGATGAAACAAATGACTTTTTACAACAAATATCAGTTAAAAGAAAAATCTTGTCGTGAATACTAAATGTCCTTTTAAATACTATTTCGTAAAAGAACTTGTTAATTCTCCCTTTGATTTGTTAGTTGTTTTCAAAATGAACTGATTGAAGTTACTTATTACTTCTTCCTTTCTTTTTGTGTACTGATTGACCATTTAATAATGTGATTATGCAGACAACTCCATTGCTGTCCGAAAGTTGATTTAGCATAAAGATCATGCCAAAAGCTCTTGATAATGAAAGGTCTAAGATATCACGAAGTTGCTCTTTAGAGGTAGAATCCTGATGGGAATTCGGTGCTGTGGCCCGTGCAAGTGGACAATTGAAACTTTTCTAGAGAGCTTTAGCTCAAAGTTGAGAAAATGACAGCGCCAATTAAATTAACTTTTCAATCATTCTCCTTCCTGTTTAAATAGAAGTTGGAACTGAATATCTTCAGTGAATGCTAGCTAGCTAGCTAGCTATGGAGCTTCAAGATAGCACGTGTGTCTCGTCTGCGCCTGCAGAGAATTGCAAGCGTCGACTGATGTTTGACAGAGGATCAAATTTTCAAGAGATTTGACATGTTATTCTTTGTTTTCAATGCTTAAGATGCTGTCTGACTAATTAGTTAATCTAAAGGAGTATTAGATGCTGCACAGAAAGAGATAAGCCAACCATCTATCCTCCACCCCACTCATAAGATGCTGATCATGGGTACGTACAGGGGCGGATTTAGGAAGTTGAGTAAGCTAGAGCGGTCATTGACTATTAATGATTGCAATAATGAGATTATTTATTAATATTTAATTATATAATATTAAAAAATTCTTCAATATAAACTAAAAGTATATACAATGAAATTATAATCCAAAATATCAAGAAAAAAATAAGTTTTTTTGAATCATATACATATGATTAAGTTTCAAGTTTTAACGAACTTAGGCGAGACATGATGAAACTTATACATAAAGCATGATTAAACGGTAAATACAAGTTCCAAACTTAGGCGAAACTTATGCAAAGTTTTAAAACAATCACTTTTAGAACTATTTTTAACCTAAAAATATATATTTTTCGAACTCTTAAAAAAATAAAGAACAATATTTAGATTGTCTAAATTTAAATTTTACAAAATAAATTGATACAATCTAACAATAAAAATATATATTATGCATTGTTAATCATACCCGATCCGATCGTTGATTGTACAAATCATTGGGTGAGTGATTCAACCGCTAGATCATTGTAATATTAAATTTTAGTTTAAAAATAATAATTTTTAAAATAAATACTGTATTACTTTAATGTAACCGTATATATGTTTTCTTGTGACATTCATTGTTAAAATTCTTCAATTGCCATAGTGTCAAGCATTCCATTATCACGTGCTGAGTACTGGTTTGAATCTCACTTATTGCAAATGTGATGTAAAATTTTGCTTTGGGCAATTTGGTAGCTACAAAATTAATAGCTTGTTTGGTAGGGATTTTTTGGGGAAAAATTGATTTTGAATAGTGATATGATGGGAAATGTGTGGTTGAAAAAGAAGAAAAAATTATTGATGTGATGGAAAATATTATTGTATTAAAGAATGTGTGGTTGAAAATGAGAATTAATTTACTGTAGCAAACTGAGAATCCCTGCCAAACAAGCCATAAAAGAAAAAGTGTAAGTTCCTAGAATCAAACCCTTGCCTCTTTCATGCAAATTATCGATCTGCCATATTAGCTTCACAACCTTTTGTTTAAATTTTGTACATTTATAAATATTTAGAGTGTGTTTGGGACACATTCTTTTGAAAGAATGTATTATTGAATAGTAGATTTATGGAAAATGTGTGGTTAAAAATGAAGGAAAAGTTATTGATGTGATGGAAAATATTATNTGTATTATTGAACAGTAGATTAATGGAGATTGTGTGATTAAAAATGAAGGAAAAGTTATTGATGTGATTGAAAATATTATTTTATTGAAAAATGTGTGGTTGAAAATGAGTAGAATAATGAGAATGAAAAAAAATAATGTGTACCAAACAAGGTTATTCTTCAAAGTTTTATAATCCAATTATTTTCGACAAATTTAGCATGGGCGGCTGCGCTGCCTCGTCGAGTGCTGGCTCCACCCCCTTGAATACATATAAGCAATACTATCGAGTAGAAAAAAGATTGACTCACGTTATATATATTATTTTTCCAACAAATTAAGGAATGGGAATCCACCCTCAGAGAGCTCAATGGTTGATATGAAGATTGACAGGTGCTATTGAACTTTTTTATTCGAGACTGCATACGATTCTCAAACAATTCGATTCTACACTACTTGGAAAGTACCAGTCAAGACTCAACAAGAGAATATGTATTAAACTAATGTCATGTTTGGAAGCTTAAAGCAATGAGAGTGCGAGGAAGAATTTGCTCTTGCTTTGTGCCCACCCTCATATGGAAAAACCAGCTCTATATGTAGAGCTATAAGATGCAGAGTAAACTTCTATGGGCTCTAACATATAAATTCAACAAGTTGAATACAGAGTGAGCGACCAGTCAAGATGAAGAAATGCATAAACTGGTACCCTGTTTTCACAATGATAGCGATTGATCTGGCCTTTGCCATTAGTAATATACTTCTGAAGAAAGTCGTTACTGATGGGATGGATCATCTGGTTTTCATAACATACCGGCAGTCAATTTCCGCAATCTTTTTATCTCCTTTGGCATTCTTTTTGGAAAGGTAGTGCTTCTCTGCTTTAATTATAATTTGGAATTTATGGTGTAAAAAAGAGAAAGCTCGAGGCTGTTCATGTATTACATAATCTGAATGAAGTTTCCTTGTAGGAAGAGCAGACCTAAACTGACATTAAGCATCTTATGTCACCTTTTCTTGAGTGCAATTGTCGGGTTAGTTAAATTAAATTGATCTATACACTTCAATTAATCCCCTTTACATGAAATATATCTCTGATGCTATGTTGCCTGATCTTGTAGGGCATCTCTAACTCAATACTTATTCCTTGTTGGTATAGAATACACATCTGCAACTTTTGCATGCGCCTTTATCAATATGGTTCCTGTGTTAACATTTTTAATGGCATTACCTTTTCGGTATGTAACCATTTAGCACCATTGCCTTTCACAATTATTTTCCACTCTTCTTTATTTTTGCCCGTATTAGACATGCCTCGTATATAAATTCATTGATCTCTCGTTGTTATTCCATTGTGGGTTACGTAGTTTGGAGAGTATTAACATAAAGTGCAGTAGTGGAAGAGCAAAAGTGATAGGTACACTAGTGTGCCTTGGAGGTGCCATCTTATTGACTGTCTACAGAGGAATACCTTTAGTTCATTTTTCGGGTTCTCAACATGTTAATCAATCTATCAAGCTGAGCTCATCTAAAGGAAGAGAAAGGTGGACAATTGGCTCTTTGGTCATGTTTGCAGGAACATTTTTGTGGTCCTCATGGTTCCTTCTTCAAGTAAATATTGGGAATAGATACCCATGCCAGTACTCCAGTACTGCTATCATGACCTTCTTTAGTGCCATACAGTCTGCCTTACTTTGTTTGTCGATTAACAGGAACCACTCTATCTGGTATTTGAACAAAAAAACAGACATCGTCACTGTAATTTATTCTGTAAGTTTACCCTTAAACATACTTCCTAGTTAAAGTTACCTCCACAAACAAGATTCTTCTTTACTGCAAAATTATACGTGTAAATAATGCAGGGGATGGTAGGTTCAGGATTGTGCATTGTGGGAATGTCATGGTGCGTAAAGAAAAGGGGGCCGGTCTTCACTGCAGCATTCAGCCCTCTTGTTCAGATTATAGCAGCCATTTTTGACGTTCCAATCCTACATGAACAACTTCATCTCGGAAGGTAAACACCACATGTACAACTGGTTGACATATCGACTCATCTATATATATTCATCAGTTCTTTTGATTAGTTCCATTAATTTCTGAGCAGTTTAATAGGATCAATCACTGTAATGACTGGATTGTACATGCTGCTGTGGGGTAAGAACAAAGAAATGAAAAACCGAGACATAAAAGTAATGCAGTCTGAAGAAACTCAAGAGACAAAGGAACAAGATCGACAGTTCCAAGTCATAGAAATAACAAGAGAATCCAGGTGCCCATGATGTCGAACTAGCTTTACCTACTGTTTTCTGGTCGAAGAACTTTTACATGGTTTTCTCTGCAGTTTTAAGTTTACATAAAAGTGACTATCTAAAGAGGATGACAAGAACCATCCTCCAATCTCCTTTCTTGTCATCCCATGAGCTTTCATTTTGCTGTTATTTTCAGTTGATTCTAGCTCAGGGTTTTAAGAGAAAATTATTCCAAGCATTTGATTATGTCAATAAAAATATTTTTTAAAAAAAAATTAGCATTTTGAAACAATGTCACAATTTTCAATAGACTAAAATATTTTCATAGCTAACTAGTCTGCTCCATTTATCTTATGAACAATGCTAGAGATATATCAATTTTGACAGTCCTCTCACATACATTTGGTGGGGTCCACGATTAAAATAATCGTGGGCCCCACCCATGGGAGATGGCTGTTAAAATTGCTGTACAATTTTGACTGTACATTAAGCATTTTTGTTATCTTATCTCATTTTGCATTCTATTGAAACGTGTTAGTCATGAAATTAATCAAATTTGGTCTTGAATCGAACCAAAATTGACATTGTTAACCATCTCAATTTTTTTTTCAAAATATTGGAGATCAACTTGCTTTTCTAACGGTATGTTTGAAACCAATAGTGAACTATTTTCAGATATATTTTCATATGACTTTATCCGTTAAATTCAATAAGAACTCCACCACATGAGACAATAAAATTTGGGTCCATCTTAAAAGGTTAACTAAGTAGTTATATTTAATTTATCATTTCGATACTTAATCGATGTTAAATTTACCCTTCTCGCGTACTCTTCAAGTATGTACATTATAGTTTACAATGAATTTTAGCTCATGTTTGGGTTCCATTTTAATACATTTTTTCTTTCTTCTTTTTAACCACATCTTTCAATAAAATAATATTATTCGTAAACCCAAAATTTTTTCTTCTTTTTTAACCACACATCCTTCAAAAAATTAACATTCCAAAACCACATTAAAATGGAGCCCAAACAAGGGCTTATATTAATTCTATATTTTTTTACTACTTTTTAATTATACCAAAGGTCCTCAATATTTTTATATTATTACACTTATGTCCCCAACTTTGACTTGTTACATTCTTATCCTCAACCGTCCATTAATTAATACATTGTATCCCTAATAATAGTTTCTATTTAATATTATGTTTAACTCAACACTAAACATGTTAAATATCTACTAAAAAAGTAGTGTTAGAAAATAACCAATATACTAGAATAGTGAAGCAAAATTATTATTTAAACAGCATTGGTGCCTAGAATAGTAGATAATGATTGATCGATTGCTTCACATTCTCCTTGTTGGACCTCTTCCTCTACATTTATGTGGCACCTCTATAACGCTCACAAATCAAAATAATAGAATTGTACAATACCAAATAAACAAATAATTTGATGTGCCAACACTCGAATTAGTATGAAATTAATTAAGTCTATGTCACCATAGTATTATTAAGGGATTCATATCGTTTAAATATCGAAATATAGACTAACTTATAGGGGTTTATGCCACTTCTCTTAATAAGATTGACTTTTTAATATAAAATCTCAAATTTTAACATGACATCAAACTAAAGATGGCAACGGGATACGTATGGGTCGAGACAACCTCTCCTGCCTTGCATCGTCGGGTAATTTTCCGCCCCATACTTGCCCCTATACCTTGTTTAAGGCGGGAAGGGGAGGGGCCCTGCCCCATTTTACCTTTTTTTTTCTTTTTTCATTATTTTTTAATAAAAAAAACTCATTATACAGTTTCTATAGAATGACAGAGCTTTCCTTAATCAGAAGCAATTCATTTTATATAGCATAATGGATAAACTCTGGCAGACTTACTACAATTAATAGAATTTTGTAGGTTACGTTGTCTATAGGGTTGGGGAAAAACTAAACTAAACCGTTCAAACTGATCGATTTGGGTTAGTCTTTAAGTTCAATTAGGTTGGGATGGTTTGGGTTGAAAAATCAAATTTGAGGTCGATTTGGGTTGGGTCTCGGGTTATGAATCAAAATCCAACCAAAACCAACCCGATGAATTAAAAAAATTAATACATAAAATGGAAAAACCTAAACACAATAGTGGAGTCAAGAGAAGGACTTGAAATGTAAAAACATCCTTTTTTTACATAGGCTGATGACATGAATACTATTACAAATGCAAAGTTATTTGAAGATAAACTAAAAATTAAGGATATGATTATGAAATGGATGAATTCCAAAAAAAATTGTAACAAAGAAAATGCTTAATAATTTCAAACTTATTTATATATTATTTTTCAAAAAGAATTCATTATATAAAAGTTAAAAACGACGAAGGTTTTCAAGTAATTTCAAACTTTAAAAAATAGTCCAAATTTAATTTAAAAAAAAAACCGCATCAAACTTGAATTGAGCCTAAGTCCAAACCGACCAACCCAACGCAAGCTTGATCGGTTTCGGTTTGGGTTGGGTTTGGTTTGATTGAGTTTAAACAAATAACTGGGTTTGGTTGACCGACCATGTTGAGTTGATTTGGGTTGGATAAAAAATCTATCTAACATAATATTTGGCTGACTAATGTTTCTCAGCAGAAAGCCACTCGAGTAAGCTCTAGACTTCAATTCCCTCGAATACACGTGATCTTAACTGGGAGGGAAAAAGTCAGTGACACACAGCAAAGGCACTTGGTCTGTCGGTCATCTAATTACATAATTGGAAACAAAATAGTTTTGCATATCAATGAATTGTAATTCATCATTTATTTAAAACTAAAACTCAAACTCAGAATAAATGGAAGGTATTCCTTCAAAGTTAACACGGTGTTTTTATCAATCATACTTCAACAGGAAAAAAAAACTTCCGATGGCTGGAGAAAAAACTGGAAACTCCCTCCAACAGCAAAGAAAATATGGAAAACTCCCATTTACATATAAAAGCATTGTAACTTATGTTATGTGGTCCTTGCCCATGTGAATAATATTTTTAAGCAGTACACCCACAAGAATGAATATAAGCAGCTATCAAAACTAGAATTACTTGAGCAAAAACTTGGTCTACACTAATACTTTGGCCAACATTGAAAAAGAATTGAATTGAAGAGAAGAGAAGAAAATAATAATAAATAAAAATTGTGATTGCAACTTCAAAGATTCTACATGCACAAAAGTAAATAACGATAAGCAATCACATTCATATTACAGACATAACCCTTCTTTGGTGCCACAGCTCTTAAAATTCAAAAACCACATTCAATTAGAAAATATCGAGGACAATTTACTTTACAAATTCAAGTTAAGATACTACCGAACAAATCTTGAAACATTAAGGGTGCGTTTGATTGCAAGGATGGAAAGAAAATATTTTATAGGGAAAAGATTTGCCTAGAAAATATTTTGTAGGGAAAATGATTTCAATTGTGTTTAATTGGTATAATTTTCCACCCGAAAGTTTTTTAAATTTTCTACTCGTTTGGCTTTGTTTTACATGGAAATTATCCATTAAAGTGATATTTTTT